GAAAATGCTTCAGAGTGAGAATTTGAGGGGACTTGTTGGAGATGGGGTCCAGGGCTGTGATTAGGGGACCAAGGACCTTGGCAGTTATATGTGAGGGCATGTTGAGAAGGTGGGGCAGATAGAAACTGAGCAGCACTGGAGTGACGAAAGAGAATGGAGTTGCTGGGCTTGCAGAAAGTGGTGAGCTGGGGACAAGAGGCCGGTGTCTCTAGAACCTGTGCAGATTTCTGTTTCCCTTATTGTGCATCACCTTAGGCACCAAGAGGAGAGTGCTGGGAGGGATTCTGGTATCTCGTCGCCACGAGGCATGTGATGCTGTGGTATGAGCCTGGTGAAATCTGGGGTTTCAAAGCAGTTTTTCATCTGATTTTTTGTATGATAATCAAAGTCCAGATGTGCAGGGACTCCCATGCAGCACCATGGCAGCTCGTTGAGAGGAGACTGTAGTGCATCAGGGAAGTTACAGTCAGAACAAGGATCCCAGCACACAAGACACTGAAACTACAGTTCTCAGTAAGCTCTGCAACAGCATTTCTGAAATGTCCAGTTTTCAGTCACAAGTTTTGGTTAAAAAATAAGTTTTCAGTGAAATTATTTTAATTTTAATTTTGTGCAGAAAACTTGAAATTTTCCATTAATAAAACAATTTGGTTTTCATTTTCCAGCTAGCCTCAGTCTCAGCAATGGGCTACCCTTTATCCTTGAGACACAAGAAACAGCAATTTTTCCTGCTAACTGGGCTTGAGCACGGGAAGAGCAGAGAACAATAGGTGTACAGGCAGTCCCCGGGTTACGTACAAGATAGGGACTGTACGTTTGTTCTTAAGTTGAATTTGTATGTAAGTCGGAACTGGTACATATTGTAGGGGAAACTCTAGCCAAACATTTTTTTTAGTTTTGGATAGCATAGGGAAAGGTTAACTCCCCTCTAATGTTTGTTTTGCTGTCTGTTCCCCTGTTCAGAAGATTTCACATCTATTTCTGTCCCTGTGACAAACTCAGGACTAAAGGAGTAACTCATCAAATACCAAACAGCTCTGCACCATGCTTTGAGCTAATAGCTTTATTTCCACACACCACCCAGGGTTCTAGGAGGAGGGTCCTTTTTTTGCTAACACAATGAGGCCAGCACTTTGTTTGTTTTGGTGGAGTCTTTGTTTGCCCAGGGAGCCCAGCATGTATAGGGGGAGGAGGGGCAGAGAGGCTGCTTTTGTCTGCTGTTCGGCAGCCTGTTGCTCAGGGGAGGGGGCAGCCTGTTGCGGGCAGGGGGAGGTGTGCAGGATGCGAGGCTGCGGGGGAGGGGGGGGCAGCGGGCGTGGGGAGGCACTTTTCCTCTGCCCGGCAGCTCTCCGGGACCCCAGTCGGGGCCGGCCAGAGGAGGAGGAGGATCCTAGGACCCAGGTGAGCGAGCCCCAGGGACGCTGCTGCGCTCCGGGAGCCCGGCATGTATAGGGGGAGGAGGGGCAGAGAGGCTGCTTTTGTCTGCTGTTCGGCAGCCTGTTGCTCAGGGGAGGGGGCAGCCTGTTGCGGGCAGGGGGAGGTGTGCAGGATGCGAGGCTGCGGGGGAGGGGGGGGCAGCGGGCGTGGGGAGGCACTTTTCCTCTGCCCGGCAGCTCTGCGGGATCCCTGTCCCTGCGGCCAGCTGCTGCAGGCAGAGGCCAGTTGGAGCCGGCCGTAGAGCAGGAGGAGGTGGATTCTAGGACCCAGGTGAGCGAGCCCCGGGAATGCTGCTGCGCATGTGCGGGAGTTGCCTCACCCCGTTCGTATCTAGGGATCCGACGTAAGTCGGATCCACGTAAGTCGGGGACTGCCTGTACTTTTAAATCATCCTGATACAATTAGGCAGAATGAATTAACTGAGCCCAACCTGGCAAAGGAGTTGATGTCTAGACATATCTCTGATACAGAGCTGAAATCACAGAGGCTGCTCTAGATCCCTGCATTGGAATGACCACAGGGATCACATTTTAATGCTTCATCCACTGTATGGGCTCCCAGTTGCATATTCTGGTGCAAGTGAAACTCCTGGGCTATGTCTGCCCTGGCAGCTTCTTGCACAAGAACTCTTTTGCGGGAGAGTTCTTGTGCAAAAACTCTTCCACAAGAGAGTGTCTACACTGGCATGTGCTTTTGCACAAGAGATGTACTTTTGCGCAAAAGCATCCATGCCAGTGTAGATGCTCTCTTGGGCAAGAAAGCTCTGATGGCCATTTTAATCATAGGGGCTTCTTGCGCTAGAAATTCATATTGGCCTCTTCTGGGAGAGCTCTTGCGCAAGAGGGCTTCTTCCTGAGAGGGAGCGTCAGAGTTTTGGCGCAAGAAGCCCTGATTTTCAACAGTACAACGTCAGTTTACTTGTGCAAGAACGCACGGCCAGTGTAGACACAGCCCTGGTCTTACTCTTCAAGGCTTTGTGGGCCGTGCTATGTCTTTTTCTGAGGCAGCGAACACTGTCCAAATGAAAACTGCCTGCAGGAGGAGAGAAAACTGAGCTCGGCAAAATGATAATGTATTGATTTAATTAATGAATTAAGTGATCAGATACAACAGTGACAGATGCCACAGAAACCTTTTCTCCAGACATGAGTGATCTTTACCCTCTCATACATTATTCTGTATTTTTCATTTTAACTTTAGGAAAATGGACTTGGTCAGACAATAGTGCAGTAGATTTTGTAAACTGGGATAAAAGAGAACCTACGGATGGTTATCACGAACACTGTGTTATCATGGATGCCTCAAATGGAGGCTGGAAGAGCTATTACTGCTCTGCTGATAGAAGATTTATTTGTAAAATGCCAAAGAGTAAGTGATATGTTCAGTACAGTGGGTTATTAGCAGTGACTGATATTTACTGCATTGTGTATTCTGTATGTGTCTATTTTATGGTAAATAGTCTGATTCTACTCCCACTGAAATCCCTGTGAAGGTGAATTGCTAATAGAGATGGAATAGAACTCCGGGACCATGGGCCCCTATCACCCTTATCCGTAGTGTCTTGGAAAATCAGAAACTCGCCAAATCAATTGCTTTGCATCTGCTTTGCTGATAGGGTTATGGAGGAGCAGTCAAAACAGGTTAGGCAGCTGGGATGTGAGGGAAAGACCCTGAGAGGAAGTTAACTGGTGGTGGGGAGGCAAGGTGAGAGGAGAAGGCTTGCCAACCCTCCAGGATTGGTCTGGAGTCTCCCAGTGACTATTGAAAGCAATCCTGGAGATTTTAAAATGCTGTGTTAAGGAAATGATATTGTTATGTTGGGAAAAACAGCTCCCAGAGCTGGCTACCCTAGAGAGAACCCCAAATGGCGGAGCTGCTGCTGAAAGAGAGGAAAGAGGACACTGCTGAGAAACCGCAGCAGTGGCAGGG